CTGGAAGTGGTGTTTTATCCGATCGTTCTGACATTGGAAGGAATAAAGGTCGATCCCGTAAAAAGCAAGGTACTGCAAGAGATGCCACAACCTAAGGATGTCAAGGCATTTAGTCGTTTAAATAGCATGGTAAATTATTTGATTTGATTCCTGCTAAGACGCCCATCCAGATGCTGACTCATAAATGTGTTGGGGGAAAAGAGAGGGGCCACTATTACGACCGTCATGCAGCTCAACAACTGGGTAACAGTCTCAGGCTACTACGATCCAGCTCTGTCTTTGGAGATGCAACCAGACAGCAGTCAGCGCGGAATAGGTGCCCTTCTCATGGGGATACTAAATCATCACATTTCCGCAGTTGATCAAGCAGTTGCAGAACAGAAGAAAAAGGCATCAGCAGGACATCGATACGCAGTACCTACGCTACGCTGGCTCACAACCACCACCAGTCGCACGTGTGCTATGGATACTAGGAGGGTCGTCCGGTCCCTATGTGGTACGGAGCATGCGCCCTCGGATTACAAGGTAGGTAAGTGATCCTTAAGACTATGAGCCAGCAGTTGCAGAACAACATTAAGCACAGATTATAATGAAGATGCGCGCTGTTGTTTAGGCGATGGAAGGATTCAAGGATCATAATGTTAGGATATGATTATTATTATGATTATCAAACGCTTGACTAATGTACAATTGGCAGTGTCACAGTTAACAATGAAAAAGAAAATAACAGACAGCCAGTAGAAGGGTTAGGAAAATATAGAAGGTTTATGCGTTGTGTGGTTGTCCAGGCCGAGGAAGAGGGTTGATTTAAGGGACCCCACTCCAAGTATTTGGTCATAAAGACAAGCCGCAAGACAGCGGGGCGATTCATGAAGACTATTGACAGCTGGGTTGTAAACTCGCCTTCTTTGTATTCCGTAGCATCCCACAGAGGATCCGGTGGTCAACAAGATTGTTCATCCGTCCTCTGATAGGGACTCACCTATGGATATAGAAGTGAGTGATCACTGACCCCATAGTCGGTCACATTGGATTTGACACAGCGCTGTACGAACACTTGTGGTATATTATGGAGAAGTAGGTGACCAGCCCAGACCAACCCCCCACGCTCTGAGACGCCGCCGCTGATTGTTCGCAACTATATATTCATCTCGCCTGCAAGGCAAACAAGACTTTTTCTCAGTTAATTCTACAAGGAAGGCATTCTCCAATCCGCAACCTGGGGACGCGACCGATAGCGTACAGCTCCGCCACGGGAAAATTTGGAAGGAAGACATCCGTGTATAATCACCATAAATAACTCGTTTTAGTAGCCAGTAAACCGTTGCACAGTGTCGTTCGACGTCTACAAAGTATGTTTACCAGACTCCAAAAACACGACACTGATGAGCAAACCCGGGTGCGTAGATGTTTATGGCAGATGCTCTGTGGAGAGGTCATCTTTCGATAGTAAGACACCATTATGAGGAAATGAAGGCAGTAGGTCTGGCATAACATTTGGCAATAACGACAGATCGTCTGAAAGAAATAAGGCGCCATACCGAGGCAGTGGTGAGGTGCGGGGCATTGTAAGGTTATATATATATATATATATATATATATATTATATATATATATATATATGCAACAGTCCATAAATAGACATTGGGCCATCGAAAAACCATGAGGAAGAAAATAGAAAAAAGTACAAATGTCAGGAATAGATAACAAATATTTTTTGGATTTGGCCTTTTTTCTGTTTTCACATGCCATTTTGTTCTTTTTTGGCATTTTGAATGGTATAGTTCTAATCGCATCGTTCAAAACATCTTACTATCCAGTCCTTCCAATGATTCCGGTTTCGCGCTATATCGCCGTGTGTCAAGCCATTTGCAGTCCTCATCTTTGGGCCCCCAACCAGGAAGATGTACAAGGCCGACGATTGTGAGACAGGTGGTAAGCAAGCTGATGCTTTGCCGCCAACGAATTGGTTAGCCTCCACGTCTTCTCCTCCAATTCAATCCCGTGCGAACAAATAAGGCGCGTCGTGGTAAACCCTTGCATGACATATGCAGTACGTGGCCAAGCCACATCAGCTGACGCATTGCGATAAGGCGAGTAAGCGGAGGGCTCATGTTTCCCAAGACACAATACCAGACTTCATCTCCTTGCGAACCCGGTGCTGCCACCACACACGGGTTATCCGCCGGAAAAATGTGTTGCCGAAGGCCGAAAACCTAGTTATGTCATCCACATGAATAGGCCAAAACCCACTTCCGTAAAGCAGGACCGCGCGGACGCAAGTGTTGTAGACTCTCCCCTTTAAAGAAAGGGATATGTCACTACGACGTCACAAATGACTCAGATTGGTAAATACCAATCGGACTCTGACAATGCGGAGATACCTCTCTTGCAATAGTGCCATCAACAGAAAAGCAGCTCCCGTAATAGACAAAATTGTCCACAAGCTCTAGCTTTGTTGCTTCAATAGTAGGTGAAGGGGCAGAAGACTTACAGCCCCAGAGTAGCACTTTACATTTCAAGGGGGAAAAGCGCATATCATACTTAGACACCTCAATCGCCAGACGTTTCAAAATGAGCTGTACATTCCATGAATCCTCACCGAGCACAGCGATAACATCAGCATAATCTAAGTCGGTCACGCGATTGCCAGAAAGAAGTTCAGTGCATTGATTTTGGGAGCATTCCAGAGATCCTAAGATGTCCTCAATCGAAAAGTCAAAGAGGAATGGAAACAAAGGGTACCCCTATCGCAGACCACTAGAGATAGTGAAGGGTGAGGAAAGCCATAGACCCTCATTCTGCCTGGTACTTGGGAGTAAAGCTCCCGGATGATAAAGTGTACTTTTCGGGGACTCCATTCCTTAGCAGACGGGGCTACAAAGCAGGCCGATCAACCGAGTCAAATGCAGCTGGAATGTCCAGAAAAACAACAATGGTTGACTGGTGGTGGTGGTGTTCAAGGATTTGGCATAGCGTGAAGATCTGGTCCACCCATCCTAGACCGGGGAGAAAGCCAGTTTGTTGTTCTCGGTAAAACAGCTCGCGGATCAGGGGTAGTCTGTGGAACAGAATGGATGACAGCAGTTTAGAAGCAACCGGCATGAGACTGATTCCCGTCATAAGCACAGACTATGCGGGTACTGTTCTTGAAAATAGGGACAATTACTGACTCACCCCAGGAGGATGGAATCTTATCTTTGTACCATATATTGAAAAACAACGATGTCGGCTGCTTGACAAGTGCTGGGCCGTCAAACTTGAACATCTCCGGAGGATGTTTGTCCGAGCCAGGAGACTTGACCCGCTTAAGGTATTGAAGCTCGACGAAAACCTCCGCTTCATTAAGTAACGATCATGAAATGCCTTAGGGCATGCAATTGGGTGTACTTGGCATACAAGCGGACTATGGATGGGAATTGAATTGGGAGCGAAAATGTTCGGCCAAACGCTCAACGCGTCTTCGTAGGTTAGTGACTCGTGACCCATCCGCTTTACAGATAGTATCGCTGATTCCATGCCTACTGGAGCCGGTGAACCGAATGAGTTGGAAGAACTTGCAGAAAGTGACGGAGAGCAGCGGTCGCCATCTCTGAGACCCGCTGAGACCAGCGTCTCGCGGTTATTACGCAAGTTTGTTTGAGTTACCGATTGAGAGTCTGGCGAACAGAATTATGAACTGACTCTGGTGGCCCAATTCGACGGCGGAAAAACAGTTCTTGCGAGCGAGCGGAGATCCAACTTTTCAAAAGGTGTTGGGTGAGACCACAAAGCGATTGGCCAGAGGAAAGTATTGCTTCGTGCAAACAAGCCCAATGTGGGGTGGCATACAGGTGAGAGCATCCGAGAGCGCAGCTTGATAGCTCAGTTGGACAGAGAGGGCAACTAACTTGTTTGTGTTAATCTTACGATGCACTTGTTTCCGAGACCCACCGAAGCGCATGCAGATGTTTGCACAAACAACTGGAACAAAGTAGAGATCTTGACCGAAGGAGAAACACAAAAGGGATAGAGTTTAAAGTTGGACTTGGATAAAGGGAGGGAGTTTCTCGAAGCTGGTTCTCAACCACGAACTCAATCAACATGCATATCGACATCGATCCAATATACCAACCTCTGAGACAGAGAGAGCTCAAGAGGATCAACAACCGTTGTTCGAAAGAACCTGATTCAACACATAGATAATGAACATTATGGTCAATGTGAGCCCAGACTGCTAACCCACACCCGTTGCGCCAATCCGAGTGCGATAATCCCAAACACGTCGCGACAACATTTCCGCAGCCAGTGAAAATGACTCGAGCAAAACCACTGAACACAATGATTCACCAATGAGAACGAGGCAAAATTAGTAGACCCGTATGCCTATATAAGAAACGGAGTGGTTGTTGACAGTATCCATTATTGGGTTTGCTTTCTATCAATTAGTGCTACTTAACTGCTATCAATCCCGCACTGAAGATGCCACTTCGAATGGTGGCGAAACGTTTGTAATCAAGTAGTCCAGCTCGGAGAACTCCTCAACAACTGAACAAGCCTCCCGAGTTACAAATATTCCAAATCATTTCGAACACCTACGGGCGCTCAACGCTCCGTTACTGTTTGTTGTTGGGAGCATTTTGCTTGCCGAAATGCTTCCTCAAGGCAACAGCTCTACTTCCTCCATGAATGCATGCGAAGAGACATTCTTCCTCGCAGTGTCAGCTACAGAACACCAATGAACCATCCAGGGTGGCATCCTTCAACCTGTGAATTACTCCGCATGGGCTACTCCTATTATGGTGGTCAAGAAAACAAATGGGAAAGTCCGAATTTGTGCAAACTTCTTCACTGGTCTGAATGCTGCTCTGGAAAGTCACCAATATCTGTTGTCTTTGCCGGATGATTTGTTCGCAAGGCTAAATGGTGACAAATGTTTCGCCAAACTGGACTTATCGGACCCATATCTTCAAGTGGAAGTTTCTGAGGATTCGCAAGAGCTGCTGACTATCAATACTCACCACGATCGGTTTCGACACGCTCGCCTACCATTTGGAATAAAAACAGCACCTGCCAATTTGCAACAGATTATCGACATCACGTTACAGGACGTCCTATCTGCTGCAGCATATTTTGACGATATCATCATCATGGGCACTGACCCGGTGGATCTAGAGAACCGGATTGAAAACGTGCTTGATGAAATCCAAGATGATGGCTTTCGAATAAGAGAAGTGTGTCTTCTACATGGATTCGGTAAAACACTTGGGATTCATCAATGATCAACACGGTTGAAGACCAGACCCCGCTACTATTGAGGCCATTCAGAAAATGCCTCCACCACATGATGTGACGACGTTACGATCCTTCATAGGATTGGTAGGTTTCTACAGTGAATTTTTGCCAGCAATGTATGACATACGCGGTTCACTGAACGCATTAATTCTCAAGGATTCTAACTGGTGTTGGAGCACGGAATGTAACCAACCTGTTATTAGGATCAAAGCCATGCTATCATCAGACCTGCTGTTGACCCAGTGAGATCCGAACTTGGATATCATTGTTGGTGTAGATGCGTCTAATTACGGAATCGGCGTGGTTGTATTTCACCGCTTTTCTGACGGAAGTGAGAAGGCAAGTGCTCATGCCGCCCGATCGTTGACGCCCGCAGAACGCAACTATAGCCAAATTGAAAAAGAAGCATTGGCGATCATCTACGCCATTAAAAAAGTTCGCAAAATGTTTTATGGCCGTCATTTTACACTGGTCACGGATCACAAGCCCCTACTTGCCACCGTTGATTCCAAGAAGGGCATTCCCGTGTATTCAGTAAATTGCGTTCAGAGGTGGGTCACAATGATTTTGGGATATGATTTCAAAATCATCAAGTACCAATCGACTGAGAACATTGGTTAGGCCGATGCATTAGCAAGCCTCATGGACAAAGATCGACAGAAGCCAGAGGACGTTATAGCGGCAAGCCTCTCGGTCGAGCCTGAAGTTCGTTGCGTTGTCACAAATGGGATAAAGGCTATCCCAATAACAGCTTCTAAGAAACGCGCCGAAACATCACATTATCCATACTCCAGCCAATTATCCGCTTCCACGTATCAAAATGGCCACAGAAGATTGGAGACGGTGAACTGAAGCAGTTTCATCAAAGTCGCAATTCCCTGTCAAGTGTCGACGACTGTCTTCTCTTGGCAGAACGAGTAATGATTCCCAAGGAACTTCAGCCGAGGGTTCTAAAGCAGTTACACACCGAAAACCTGGGAATAAATCGTATGAAGTCATTGGCCCGTAGCTACGTGTACTGGCCACATTGTGATGCACAAGTCAAATAGCTTGCTCGCTCCTGCTCCAATTGCACACTTGCTTCGAAGTCGACAAAGAAAGTAGAGCTCCATCATTGGCCGGATACCGGGAAACCATGGTCGAGGCTCCATGCTGATTATGCTGGACCTATGAATGGAAACAGTCACCTTATCCTGGTTGACGCCTACAGTAAGTGGCCAGAGGTACTGCACATGTCATCGACTACTGCCTCAGCAACCGTTACTGCACTTCGTCAAGTTTTCAGTCGCATCGGGTATCCGGACAAAGTAGTGACTGACAACGGAACTCAGTTCCCTTCAGCGATTTTCGAGGACTACCGCAATAAAAACGACATAACCCACATGAGGTCACCTCCATAGTCGAACGGTCTAACAGAGTGATTCGTGGACACCTTCAAGAGAGCATTACCGATGGTCGAGATCATTAAGACTTTTCTTTTTGCCTACAGGATAACTCCAAATCCGCAGATGCCTCAAAGTAACTCTCCGGCTGAAACACTGATGCAACGGAAATTGCGATCCAGCCTCGATTTGCCTGAACCATCTGACAGGAACAACCTGAACCGGAACTGAAAAATAGAACAGCAGTCCAACAGGAGACAACGTGCTCAGGAAAGAGTTTTCTTCAAAAGGAAACGTGCTGGCAAAGGACTACCGAAACAACCAGGTCACCTGGACTCCAGGACGTATCATTCGTCGAACTGGAAATGTCACGTATGACGTTGCCGTTAATTCTGAGGTTTGGGTCCGACATACCAAACAGTTACAATCCCTTTCCTTTCCGGATGAATCACCAACGCGCAGTACGTTGCCATTAGACTTGCTCCTCGACACACTGCTATTAGCCCAGAAGACTCCAAACCCGAACAGGAGACCACTTCCTACATCTTTACCGGGTTTGCACCAAGAAGATGGACGGATGGACGCAGGAAGTCCGAGGCAAATGAACCATAAGCCGAAAAGTTATGGGATTCATTCAAAAGAGGGAGATGTTAGGGGACGCACACCCTAACGAGATCGGTCGGATGCAGCTCCCAGCTATTTAGCTCGAAAATGATTCGCCTGTCTCATGGTCGTGACCACGGTTCAACCAGTGACAGTTTTCCACATTTACAATTGCAAGGTCATTGTGTAGGACTTTATAAACCAATGAAAGCGTATCGCATATACTTCGTGTTGTCTTCTCACAAGTGTTCCAAGCTGACGACTTTCGACTTCTGTTTTGGGTCGAAGGTTTGGGCTTTGAGGTTGGCACACTCGCGATACACAGAAGGCCACAACAGACTTTTTCTGGCGACGGTAATAAAGTTGTGAATAACGCCTAAAGATGCCACTTTCAATGGAAGAGCTTACGTTGATTCTGAAGCAGAAACAGAAGCTATCTGAGGAACTACAGGTGCGGCTGATCGAAACGCTATCGCAGAAACTGAACATTCGATCATCAGTAACTGATAGAAAGTAATCATCCGCTGATGCAGTTTCAGGAAGCATCACAGAATTCAGCAATGAGCTAGACGCCAGATGCACTCTCGAATCTCATTTCAGGAGATATGAAGATACATTGCAAACAAAACTGGCCGTTACGGATGATGACTGAAAATTACGGCTGCTTCTGTGAAAGCTTGGGACTCGAACCTGCGCCCTCGGATTACGAGGGAAGGTTATGGTCCTTCAGGTGAGGGGGCTGGTTCACCAGTAGTTAGTTTTAAGTTAAGCGTTTGGATCGCCAACCAGGGGACGATTGATAGTGCCATAAGCAGATGGTGCTGCGTCGTGCATGGCGGCCGAGATCCTATTCCACTAAAACTCAGTGTCATTAGAACGAAACAACGAGTTCGGTACGCAGTGAGTCTTGATAGACTTACCTTACCAAGGGCTGAGAATTTCCCAGTTGCCAATCGGGAGCGACGCTTGGTGCGCCTCCCTGTAAAGTTCACGAAGAAACGACAGCGTACCAAGCCATGATCAGAGTCGACGCAGGTAGTCCAGTACGAGCGGCAATAAAGGATGGAACTACGCCACCTGTAACTTATGGCAATGTGGACAATTTGGGTCCATTGCTGCCAGCTACAAGAGGACGCCAAGTGGCACTTCGGCGCCCACTGTGTCTAAAAACAGTGCAACTAAGAAAAAACTGGTACGCCGCACACAGTTGCAGCAAACGCTCATCCTTGTCAGTCCGTTCGGAGTTAAGTCCATAATTACCATCCAGCTGAGATACTGAAGAGCTCAGACGCCCTACTTGTGCGTTCATATCTCCTGCAAGTACCATAATATATGAACTAGTAGTACTGCGTAGTAGCCCATTCAGTTGGTGGTAGAATGTGTTCTTGACAGCACTTGAATTGCAGTCAGTGGGAGCATAAGCGGAAATCACAAAAAACAACGTTTTGTACTACTTCGTAAATCAACCTTAGCTGATGTCGTCAAACGGGCTGCACATAAACGGCTGTTCACCGAAATCCAATCAACCAACGATGGCACAGCATTGGAGCTTAGAATGATACCTACACCAGCTTGACCCGTGAGTGCTGCATCGGCATCTTCGGATGCGTGCAACCAATAACGAGAGAATAAACCGGGTACAATTAATGCAACAATCCCGTTAGGGTCATGGATCCTAGTTTCGGACACACAACACACATCAATACCCAGTGTGTCCATGGTGCGTGCGAGTGCAGCCTGTAGAACGTTGAACGTCGTCATGGAAACGGGATAGCGTGGCCTTATAGGAAACTGTTGCCGATATGCGTCTGATGGGTGTTGTGGAAAGGTGGTTGCAGATGGTTCTACTCCAGTGGCACTTCGGTTGCTGTCAATAAAGCTGGGAATTATAGCAGGTAGGGTCGGGATGGGAGTAAGAGTAAGCAGCATGTTTTTGCTTATCCACCGTGCTGTATGCAGCAAATAAGGCGACCCTTGATAATCTGCGCGACAGCCGATGTAATATGAAGTTTATGTTTGAAGAAAAGCTCTTGGTTGTATGTGAGCTGAGATACTGCCAGAGCGCTCAGACCTAGACAGGAGGACGATTAGGGTTCTCCACCAAAGATTTTGGCTCAAAAGCCTGTCCGCAAGGTAGCGGGGAGGTCGCAATGATTTAGTTTTACAGAAATGGACACTATCCCATTTCAAACCCCCAACCTGGAGGATCAGGAGACTGAGTTTGCCTGACCTTTCACTATTGACCAAGCTGGTAGGAGTAGCGCTCAAAGTGCCCGGAGGCATCACCCAGTATAGCTCAATGGGTCAATGAAGTACGCAAATGAGCGCACCACGTTGAGGTCCAGTCTCGTTGCGACGGGTGCGAGTTACAGGACTTCTTTCAACTCAACATTCAGAGTTCGAGACAAGGTCACCGCTTGAAGCTATTCACTGGTTCACTGGATTGTAGAGTGCAGAAGGGAGAACACTTGTCAACTCCATCAATTCCTATTCATTGTGGAATAGCTGCATGTAGTGGCGTGAAGGCGTTCCTCGAGCGCTCGTCGCATTTGCAGCGGAGCCAGCAGGATCCTAGCGTCTTCGTTAAGTGTTCGTCTAAAAGTCTTTTGAAACATTCCTCCGAAAATGAGTCAACAATTTCTATAGGCAAACTGTTCCAGTCATTCACCACCTGGGTAGAGAGGGTGAGATCCAAGCGAGCGTGGATCCTTGGTGGTTTGTGACCTCGTGCCGAGCAGTCGGCGTTGGGGTGGAAGAACTGCAGACACTCGTTTCCGAGTTTACCAAAAAGGATGCGTCTAGTGTAGATAAGATCGCC